TTCAAAATATTAGTCTCACAAGAACAAGAGGAAGTAGAAGTACCACATGTAAAGACATTGTTCTCACCAACTATTTCATTGCCTTCCGTTAAATCATATGTTGGCGAGGAAGTGGATGTGGCATGATCACTTAGGCCTTTTGGGAGAATCACTTGAGGCTCTTCATTTTTTGGTGAAGTTGAGCACTGCTCAGGTGGTTCCTCTAATGAGAGTGTCTTCTCATCACATTTGAACTTATCATATTTTTCTTTGAGTGTGGTCCAAATGACATGAGCATCATCAAGTGGTTCATCATCTCCAAATATGATGGCATCAAAAACATCTTCACTCAAAGCACCAAATAGGACATTAGTAGCTTGAGCATTGTGTTGTAAGCATTTCACTTCCTCTTTAGATAAGATAGCCAAATCATCACTAGGAGGTGAAATGCTCACATCTACAATCCGCTCAATATGAGGACCCATGTCCCTAAAAACAGTAAGCACACTAGCGGACCAAGATGCATAAATTGAACCATCTAAAAGTAGAAGTTCTAGAGATACCTCCTCACTTGTCGACATCATCTCTTAAGGTGGTTAAGCCCAAAATTGAGAGCCTGGCTCCAATACCAATTGAAAGGACCTTGATGTCGCCTAGAGGGGGGTGAATAGGCCTGTTTAAAACAAACTCGTAGCGAAAGTTTGATTCTAAGTGTGGCACTGCCTCACTAAAAATGTAGCACTACCGCACTAAATATGCAGCACCGCTACGCCTGCGTAGAGAGTTCAGCAATAGCTGCACCTAGATCCCAAACTTGGAGATGTGCGTGGAGATGTCCAGTGAAAAGTCCACTAAGTACCTGCACTCACAAACAAGCACAACCAAGTAGATCGAGTGGAACACAAATAATACAATTCAAAGCACATGAGAGAAGACACACGATTTATCCCGTGGTTTAGCTCGCCACCAAGGCTTGCCTATGTCCATGTTGTTGAGATAGGCCCTAAGGCTTGGGCTTTGCAGCCCTCCTCGTTCTCAAGTCAAGAGAGTAAACTCTTGAGATGAGGGGTTTCCACTAGATTAATGGGTAATACAAACTTTCCCGCGGCTCACCACAAGCACGGGAGCTCGCCGGGTGATGCATAGCCGTCTAGGAGGCTTCACCTCCAAGAGTAACAAATGTGCAATGAAGATTAATGAAGCCCGACAAGTGATCAAAGTTTTGCTTGCTCTAATAAGCTCTCTAACACTTAATTACAAACTAATCACTCACTCTCACAAAGAGAGGGGTTAGAGAGAGCTCTCACAAGGCTTGGAAAGGGTTTGAAATGTTGAAAGCATCAGCAGCCTCACCAAGAGGCATGGGATGGGTATATATAGACCCAATCCCAAAACTAGCCGTTGTAGTTTAAAAACTAGCCGTTATGACCTGTACAGGTGCGGCACTGCCGCTCCAACCCATGGCACTGCCGCGGTGCAGCACTGCTGCGAAAATTCGTGGTACTGCCGCAGCTCTGAAAAGCAGCACACATCACCTCAGAAAACGCCATAACTTTTTACTCCGAATTCCGTTTTTAGTGATCTTGGACTTTCTGAAAAGCTTGTTTCGAGGGCTATCCAGCCCAGCCAAGAGCAAGCCCCAAGATCAACAAGTGCAAGTGTTGTGCTAATGTGTTTCTCTCATGTTAGCACTTAGGTTCAGTTAGTTTGAGCACTTGAGACTTGTCTATGATTCGTATTGCATTCCCCTTGATAGTACGGCATACCTATACTCAAGATCAAGAGAATATAACCATTTCAACCACTTGAGTCTTCAATATCTTCATATGCCATTTCTTCTCAATATCACTTTATAAGGGGTTGCAATCATCTTTGTCTCATCTCTTCAAGCAAACATACCTTGAGCATGTAACTTGAATCATTTCCATATATATGAGTTCACCTCATGGCTTCAAGTCGCTTCTACTAATAATTTGATCATCAACACAATATGACTCCTCATAGCTCGATTAGTTCCTCAACTCAATGCAAGTGCTCTCTTCTTCACCTTAGCCATGGTACCTCGGTCCTCAAGCCATCGCTTGCCCTTCACCTTCGCTTAGTCCCTCGAAGCCCTTTCCTTCCTATCTTCACCTTATCGAGCCATACTCAAGTCACATCATATTAAGCATCCATTGAAAAACTATTTCTTCAATATTATGATCCTTGCTTAAATATCTTCTAGATATGAATGTTGAGATCAATCAAGCTTTAGGTGGATGATGAGAAATGACATAATTTTCAGAAACATAGCACACTCGGTTCATAGATGCAGGAATGTCTTCAAAAATGAGTTTGCTCTAGTTATTCTAAGAGCAAAGGCACGCTGTCACCCTCTTATAGATCAATGGCTAGACAACTTTGTGTAATCTTAGCTATTTTTTCCACACCTTTTATGTTTCCTGATTTTGTGCTTGTAAGACTTTGTAACTTTTTGTATATGCTTTAATAAAATTCCAGTAGGGGCACAACTCCTCCTGTTTCATCAAAAAAATAGAGCTAATCTAGTTGCTTAATGTTGACAACCAAAGTTGGCACATCATGAATGATTGGGCTTACGTAGATGTGGAAACACATGATTTATTTATGAATCATGTTGTTGTGTAATTCTTGCTATTTATTTAAGCTTGGCCGATTAATTAGTTTGGTTCACAAAAATCTGAGAGCATATTCACAAAAAAAGAGAGCATGATGTAGGGAGGATGCCAGCATGCTAAGAAGCATTCAATTGACATAAATAAAAATCTAATGGAAGTACAGGGAGCTCTCATAATCACACACAAATTGGTCTACAGGCCAGCATGTTGAGAATTTAGAAGGAATCGTAGTATTTGGAAAGGAGGACATGTTGATGACTCGAAATAGACAAAGGGAGACACGTGCAGATAGAGATTGTGGATACTACTATAATAAAAGTAACTTTGCTTCTGGTTATATCAAAACCTCCGGATTAGAAGAAAAAAACATCAAATTAGGGCTATGTATTCAGCCCCCGCTAGGCGACATCAATTTGCTTTCAATCCTCCTCATCAAGGCTTAATACCATTATATACATCTGTTTTCTCCTTCAATATTCTTTGTTGTCCACTCTCTTTAAAAGGATCCGAAAGTCCAAAAAGGGCTTGCATAAATTGGGCTTTTGCAATCTTTTGCATAACATGAACATATCGTTTAGTCAAATTCACCTACGTGCCTGAAGTTGACAAAATCCGACTATTATACCAAGCAAAAGTGTTTTGCGAACCACAATGTTCGGCCGATGGTTTTTGCGGCTGATAAACTGGCTGATGTTGTTTTGTTGTAAGAGGAAAACACTGTACCATGGCTGATAACTCTAAACCCTACTCTAGAATGACAATTTAAGAAAGTAAATTGTGGAATTCAAAGAGAGGGCTAGGAAGACTCAATACTCTCCACTAATCCTTGTTGGAGCATCCAAAACGTTTTTAATGAGCCCAAATCACTGTATTTATTGAAATACTTGGTTCATGAGAAAAAATGTTCCGTATTTAGGACAAAAAATATTTTAGATTCACTTGAAAATTGTCACGTGTGTTGAAGAAGAGAAAATTGTTTGTAGTTCGGGTTCCAGGTTCATGTGAAAAAGGTCTCGAGCTTCAATAAAAAAATGAGCTATGTTAATAAAATATAAGAAATGTTCCATTTGCTTATGTGCAATGTCCTAACAAATGACATTATTATTCCACTTCTTTGAAACTAATGTTCCATTCGCGTTGACACAGTGTCCTGTGGTCTGTGGAGGACAAACACGAAAGGAAACAGCATAAAAAAAGGAAATAAATGGATAAGAACAAAAAGAAACGGCAAAAGAAATAGTACGCGAAAAGACAAACACGAAAGGAAACAGCATAAAAAAAGGAAATAAATGGATAAGAACAAAAAGAAACGGCAAAAGAAATAGTACGCGAAAAGGAACGGCCCACGGGCCCAGGAGTAGCCCGGTGCGGGTGCGCTCCGGCAGGGCCGAACAACACCAGACTGGGCTGCCACCGTACAGTCGTGTTCACGGTTATCTCCACCAAAATACATTCGTCTTTTGGGTAGCGTTATTTGATATTTTTTTCAACGACAAAACAAAAGGTTCAATATTTATTCGATATCTTTTTTAACAACAAGATCCAAAAAAGAATTCTTTTTATAAATAAATTTTCAAAAAAAATGATGTCTATATTTAAATTGTGTCTTTAAGACAACTCAAAATAGGTGCAGAGATACTCTGAAAGAGACCGATTTTAGGCTTCCTTGCTATTCTGGGTTTGGGTGTTGGAGACAGTCTCACCAATCACCCCGGTCCCCGGGTGGCCGGGTGCAGTGCAGTGCAGTGCACTCTCGCCTCTCTCTCGCGCGCGCTCTCTCTTTCTGCGACGACTGGGCTACCGCCGCCGCCGCCCTACGCCAGGTGTCGAGGTCTTCATCGGTCCCTTTGCCGGCGACGAGCGCATACAAGGTATTCCCACCGCTTCTCTCCCCTTCCTGTGCGAAACCGAGCACCCAAACCCTAGGCGATTGAGCTATTTGACGTACGCCTACTCCTGACTTTCGAACTTTTTGCAAAAATTATCCGCCGGTGTACTTGTGTGCACCCATGCATGTCCTTTATGTGCCCACCGCTGGGTGCGGTGGTTTGGGTGTTAGGTTTTGGGCGGTCCTTGCTGCTGAAATGGGGGAGCATTGCTGATGATCGAAGTGGTTGTACCGTGTGTTGGGGTTTTGATGGACTGCATATAGGGTTAGAAAAGCTACTCGGGTCGACGGGTCCGGATTTGTGGGAACCGATTTCCTTGTTGATTTGCCGGCTTTGCTTGTCCGACCAATGCTCCTTAATTAGGTGTTCCCAGAGAAGCATTAGTAGTTATGATCTTTGTCGTGCTGCTTAATTGGTATGGTCCAGCGCTTAGTCAGATGGTGTGGTTTCACTGCTTTGTCTGTTTGGGTTGGAAATTGGAATAGAGGCATGCATCATGCCGGTAGTTTTACTAGATAACTCACTATGTTTTCTGTCACATTGTCTGACGGATGGATTAGAATTACTGTACGCCTTAGTCCATGATACAAAATTGCCAATTTAACGGTTCGTTTGTTGGTGCAAATGCTCCTGCTGCTTGGTTCCAAGATTTTTGACAAATGTAATCAGAGAACATTAGGGGATTATTGAATATTCTAAAACAGGCACATGATGCTGATAGTTCATTGTGTGTGTCCAAATTGTTGGTTCAGTTTATTGCTTTTCATACATGTGAGTATGTGACTGCAGTGATAAATTGTTCATATTCTGCTTGCAGTTACAGATTGCATCAGTGCCCTTTCTCGGGGTGACTGCATTCTATGGATCTTCAGGAACATCATGATCTCATATTTGGAGAGGAGTTCTGCTTTCCTACCACCACGACTTATTATCCACCTCTTTATGCCCCAACTGGTATAACGGTCTTGATGCTGTCTTCATTAAGTGATGTATGTTGATGCTGAAGTTCAGTTACTTAACGTGTCACTTACTTGTAATGAATCTTATGAGTGTAGGTATTAATGTGCCTGCCCAGCTGTATCAACAACAGACAAGTTCGAGATGTGACAATCAAGCTCAAAATTACATGGTTTGTTTTAAAGAATGCTATTTTCTTTTTGCTTTCTTTTCTTGGTGTCTCATATTGTACATATTTAAATTTAAATACATTGTCCTGATCCTTCGACAGGGACACGAGGTGCAAGGCACATCATCCATGTATTATGTTGTCCCTAACTATGGGATCGGACATTCTCCCCATGGACCTCACCCTTTGCACCCTTGTGCCATAGGCGATGGTAGGTTTGTCAGAACCCAAGAGTACCACGCTGAAACTGTGGAGCACACATACCATCAACCAGTTCCTACACCCCACTGTTCCGCCCGTCCATCTGCAGCAGACAGAACCCCAGCTAACACTGCTCAATATCTTGGTTACACCAATGGCTTGTTTGTTCCCGGTGGACTTCAGCTAACTGTATCTGTTACCTCAGAAAGGGGTGTCGCATGGAATCAATCTCTACAACAAGCTACTATTGCTTCAATGGAATTTCAAAGCCATACTTCTCTACCAGAAAGGGGTGTCACATGGAATCAATCTCTACAACAAGCTACTATTTCTTCAATGGAATTTCAAAGCCATACTTCGCTACCAAAGGAACAACCACATAGGCCAGCTCCATGGAAGCGGCAATTATCAGGTGGGGCCAGGGCGCCAGCTAGACTCCCTCGTGCTCGACGGGTATGTTGCTGTCCTGACTATGAATCTGTTGAGTTTTACGTGCTCTATAATGTCAATTGCATTGAAACAGCATGATCCTATTAACAACTTTGATGCCTGTAGTTCTTTCTACTGTACATAATTTTCTTCTTTTTTCCTTTATTGGTAATTGAACCGTATAACTACTTAGAATGGATGATAAAAGACTGTGCATTGTTGCTGAACTGAAAATATGAAATTAGTAGTTTTTTCCATATTTATGACAGCATATGTAGAAGTATACTAAAGTCCAATGATTTCTGGTTGCATATATATTCTTATTGAGAAGGGCAGGCCTGGAGCAGTGGTGAGAGCTGTCTCACTGAGTCACCAGGTCGTGGGTTCGAAGCAGCCTCTCCGCAGATTTTGCGGGGGAAAGGCTTGTCTCGGTTTATCTCTTCCCCAGACCCCACTCATGTGGGAGCCTCCGGCACTGGGTCTGCCCTTTTTATATATATTCTTATTCATCCTTTAGATGTCTCATGTCATGGTAGTGTACTTCCATGCTGCTGCATTTTTCATGTATAATACCTTTTTATGACGTTTTCTTGTGGTGACTTGAGCCAATGGCAACCTGTTGGGCTAGATTGTTTTTCTAATGTTGTATTGTAATAGTGGTAGTGCTCCCATAGCGTGGTCTCCTGGGAAACAGGTTTCAGGCCTGGTATTTTCTTGCCCCCCCCCCTTCTTTTGTAGAGTCAGCAGAGCTCCTGCTATCCTTATTATAACTTGTTTATCTTTTATGCACCTTGTTGACATGTCTCCTGACTATGATTAGGCACCACATCAGTCTCCAAAAGCGGCTGCTCCTTCTGTCCGGTCTTCACTGCAGACAAGTCTGTCATACAATAATGAAGTTTCAAATGTTGGATCTGACCTTTGTGAGATGCAGTCAACTGAGAGATCCCAACCATATGCAAGAACCAGTAGCTATGCTAATCGAAGGTACAGTTCCATGAGTCAGCAGAACACAAGTAAAGCAAAAATGCCAATAGGTTCAACGCCCCCAGAAATAGTTGTAAAATCATATACATCAAGGCTCCTTATCGGCAACCCAGAGGGTAAAATAGTCATTAGGTCTGATCAATATAACAGACATGATTTCCAGGTGGTGTATCCAAATGCAAAATTCTTTGTGATAAAGTCCTATGATGAGGCAGACATTCACAAATCTATCAAGTATGGTGTGTGGTCAACTTCCTCTACTGGAAGCCAGAAGTTGGATATTGCGTTCAGAGAGGCTCAAGCAATAGCTGCAAGTAGTTCTACCTTGTGCCCAGTTTTCCTGTTCTTTTCGGTGAGTTGATCTTAATTTAAAGGTATTTGACCTCTTTCATTCAATTCCATGTCCTTGAACTTCAATTACGGAGTCCAAAATTTTGGTCTAGCAGGTCAATGCAAGTTACAATTTCTGTGGTGTTGCTGAGATGGTTGGCCCTGTCGACTACCAAAATGACATGGACTTTTGGTGCATGGATAGATGGATTGGCAGCTTTCCTGTTAAGTGGCATATCATAAAAAACGTACATAACTCCACTTTCCGAAGTATCTTACTGCAGAATAATGAAGATAAGCCTGTGACCTCTAGCAGAGATACACAAGAGGCAAGCTCTCTTTGATATCTCACTAAATTTCCTTCAGTTGGGAGAATGTTGTTTCACTGTTTATGGTTGGTTTCTTTAATTAAAGGAAAACATGTCTCTGCTCAGTTCTCTGGTTCTATAGTATTTTGGTATAGACCCTAAATATCGATTCCACATAAAATGGGTCACATAAATCTTAGGTACTACCGTACTAGCAAGTTTTGTTTCTTTGGATGAAGTTGGCATAGCAATAGCTAATAGGTTTTATCCATTTGCTAGTATTTTGCTGCTGCGCCTTTGACAACATTGTAGCTTGATCTGCTGTTTATCTTGTGATCTCATCCTGCACCCTGACACTGTTCCATACTTGCATTTGCAGATACACTACACTCCTGGAACAACTATGCTCGAACTCTTCAAATATACCAGAGCAGACGGATGTGTGCTTGATAGCTTCATGGTGCATGAGGAGAAGGAAGCAAGGAGACTCCAGAAGTTTAAGCTGCGCAGGGGTGCTCCACATTTTATACCTGCATGGCATGGCCCTCGTCCCTCCAGACATGTGCTGCCAAAATCTGACAGTGTAGTGATGGACATAATTACCAGTGAGTGTGAGACAAATAATCTTACTGACAAGCTACAGAATCTCAACCTGGAGAAGAACCAGGCTTCATGGCAAGAATTTGGGAACCTGACTAGCGTAGCTTCAAACACAAACAGACAGAAAGAATGGTATTGCTACGGAACCCAGGCTCATGGAAAGACAAACAAGGATACTGTGAAGGCTATACCATCTCCAACTCGAGCATACCATCCCATGACTCCTCCAAACCAGAAATCTGCTTTGGATGGAGAACAACGACGCTGGAAGAAGGTTGAGATTGCCCCAACTGAAAACCCACAACCAGAAACTGTTGCCAGCGCCTCGTCAAAAGCACCACCTGAGGAGCATCAACAAGGAGGTAAAAGTACGTTGGCGCACAGTGCATCAGGAACTCCTGAGATGACTTGTGAAGAACAGAAGATTTTTGGGAAAGCCTGTCCACCTGTGGCCGTTTCGACAAGTAAAGCCTGCTCAGAACCCCTGCCTGGTGTGCTTGCTATTGGCTCAATGCTGGTCCCGATTACGACGTCCAATTAGTAGTAGGTCTAAAGGTATCTCTTGTTAACCCACACGAATGAAAGGCGTCTCTTGTAAGTAGCACGGTTCCGTTTTGAGCTTCTGACGTTATGGGCTCGTGGCAACCATGGAGTGAGCAGTCTTCAGTTTAATCTGGCAAACTAGGAACCACTTATCTCTTTAAGATGTGGAAGGTTCAGGTTTTCTTTTGACCTTTTCAGTTCAGCATCGTTCTTCCTTTTGAATCTTCATCGGTTGCCATGTCTATGGAATGGAAAAATAAAAATACAGGATTTGGTGATGTGCTTAAACTTGTGTTGAAGTGGATAGCGGAGTAAGTCGCATGTTCTGTTGAAATGTTTTCTTTGTTGGAAACGTATGCTGTCCTATCAGGTCTCTCTTTGTTCGCATACTCTTGTTAAATCTAAGACATGTCCCCATCGTGCATTGATTAAGCTAGATAGACAGGCAGGAGTCGTCAGCTGAGACTGATTTATGATTTACAAATCGGGGTGGTTTGGTGCCCCGTTTGAGTGAGATAACTAAAGACGAAGACTGAAAACGCTGTGGTTGTGGCAGCATGCATGTGATGTGTGATTTGTTTGAACAGTTCATCAGCCAGCAATCCGGTATGGATACCGCTTCAGTGCTTCACCTGGTACTCGCCCAAGTCCAACCTGCGGACTTCTACGTACTATCCTAGCGTGTTGCAGAGCAGGTGCAGTACCTTCACTCTTCGCTACGGGAGTAGGTCCCCCACCCCCACCCCCCAGGTCGCTACTAGCTTGCTGGTGAGTACTAGTAATTAGTAAATTGTCTGCTGATGCTAACCACTCTTTAGTCTTAGGTGAGGTGAGGTAGTAACCACCCACTCCACCAACTCCGTTTGCATCTGCACATACAAAATGCCAACGATTTGGATCTCATCTCGGTGGATGTCAATTCCAGGGCCCTTGCTGCACCATGTAGGAGTGTGCCAAGGAAAAGGAAACAAGCGGTGATCCGTTCAGACGTATGGTTTGGATCTGACAAGCACAGGTCTGATCGACGCTTTGCCTCGTTCCCATGAGACGGTGGACTTGAGCCGTGGCGGCATTGCGTTGTTTAATTGCAGGTCTCGAAATGCAGCAGTTGTTGCGTGCATTCAGATTCAGATCAGGCGCAGTGGCAGTGCAGTCAAAGACGATGCCTTTTCTTTAATTTCTACCCAGCTTCGCTCACTACGGACACCAACTCGCCAACTACTGATGGTTCATTATTCAGCCACGCATGAGCATGATGCGCGGGTCCTGTCCTAACAATAATAAAGCATAACACATTTTGCACCAGTGCTATTGGCCTAGTGCTGTACGTAGTGCTAGTGCACATGACATGGCCATGACTTGTTTACTATATATTTGTCACATAAATAATCTCGGCCTGATTGAGATTTCAGAAGCTGTCGGGTACGTGTATGCAGGAGCAACTTTGCGTGGTTTGGTGCTTGTTCGATCCGTAGGCAGCAGCTAGCTTTTCGCGAAGGGTTGGTGTAACGGTGTGTCATTCGTGACCGGCCGGCCGTGGGCACAGCTAGCACCCATCACCGACACCTTTACCATTACCATCATATTCATATGCATATCGATCGGTGGACAATTTCTTGCAGGCAATGGCATGCATGGATCGGAGCATACAGCTTCTTTGGCATGCACTTGATTGATTTCCCCAATGCAAGCACTACTACGTTTCATAGCAAACGGTTCAGTTTGCGTTTCAGATTCGCCTGAAGAACCGAAGCCCCCTAGCAAGCGAGGGCGAGACTAGAGTTTTTTATGCTTGCCATGCGCCCATGCATGTCAATCAATTTTGGCAGCCGCGCGCATGGTAGGTAGAATCTATTCCTGCTCTGCTGGATGGATATTTTGCTCGCTCGTCGGCGACGCTAGCAGCTAGTGCGCTCTTCCGTTCCGATTCGGTGGCGAGAGCATGCAGCAGCAGCCTGCTGCCTGCACTCGTCGCCGTTGGCGCATGTCCTCCCTCCAAACTTACCGGTGCCGCGCGTCGGACTGGAAGCGCGCGCACACACACGCGTGGACGTGCCTCCAGATCGAGTCCTGCTGACGATGGACCTGCCGGGCGTGCCGGCAGCTGCGCCGTCGCCGTTGCGGCAGGTCGCGTCCTCCCTCTCGTCGGGGCCGATCGTTCCATCTGCGCTGTTGCAGCATCCCAAAGGAAGCTACCGAGACCAACATGCCACCAAACACACACACTAGCTAGCTAGGCCAGAATTCGTCGTTCGTCCGTGGCAACCACTCCAAAAAGCGCCTTTCATCACACGTCTAGCTAATCGTGCTTCGTTTTCAAGCACAAAATCAATTGATACTACTCCCTGTGATATATGGTCCTGAATTGATACTACCTAATTAGGGGGTAGACACTAGCAACCTTTTTACTCTTTGATTGACGATCCATATCTGAAAAGCCATGTAAATTGACAACAGGAGGACGTCGCTGCTGCCGTATCTCTTATTTATCATGGAACACTCTTTAATTTGACACATGAAGTATTTTATTTTTTTGTTCTTGAGACGAGAGCGTTACCCCCTACTGAATTACTGATTGTATATACTCTTCTCTATTAATAATAAGAAAAGGTCAAAATAGATGTTACATTCCAGAAAACAAAAAAACACAGTGTGTTTTGTATACTAATTTTTGTCGAAACTATATAATAGAATTAGAAACCAGCACATCAATGTCCTATAAACGGGCTTGAATTTGAGATGCGAGGGAGTGGCTTGCAGTAGCAGTATCTGAATGGTGGCTGCATCGCACTAAGGAAACATTGGCCATGTTCGGCTGACTGGAAAAACACTGATCCTGATGCTGATTTGTTGCGAGAGGAAAATACTGTTATTTCGCTGAAATAATACGGTTGATAAGTTCGAGCGAACAGGACCGTTACGGGGCTGCTTATAATAATAACTATATACGTCGCCTTTAAATCACAGTCACCTTTTTCTTTTGAGGAAAAGCTAAGCAATGGATTATATTTGTTGCCAAATAAAAAAAGTGCCCCACCATTCACCAACTCTCACTCACTCTCCCTCCACACACACACACACACCATGTATGTATGTAAGTATGTATGTATGTATGTATGTATGTATGTATGTATATGCCTGATGTTTCTCGCGAGGAATCCATCGGAAATTTGGTCCAAATAAACAAGCAGAGCAGAAATCCATAGGAAGCCTCTTGTAGTGGCAGAAATCTAGTGTGCAGACAGGCTGTATTCTTGTTCTATATATAAGCGGCGTTGGCCACGTTTTATAGTTGGCCGTCGGTCTCTGATTTCAGAAAGTAAGGCACAGCACATCAGTTCACTTCATTTCATTTACTAGCAACAACCTGAGGAGTGAGGAGTGGCTGGCGGTGGCGGGGGGCTAGCGAGCGGCGCGGCGCCACAGCACGCGGAGAAGAGAGCCATGGCGAGCGCAGGGAACGGCGGCGGCGGCGGAGGCGGGCCGCTGAAGCGGTCCATGGGCCCGCTACGTGTGCAGTACTACATCGTGATGGGCGCGGTGGCGGCGGCCGTGGTGCTGGCCACGCTGCGCTACATGCCGGGACCGGCCATCCCGGCGACCACCGCCGCCAGCGCTACCACCACCACCAGCGGCGCTGTGGTGCGCTCGGCTCCAGCAGCCGCTGCCGCGGCCGTGGAGGAGGAGGGGGAGGAGCAGGCGCAGGAGGAGGGGAGGAAGAAGAAGAGGAGGAAAGGGGACGGGGTGGTGCTGTTCAACTTCGGCGACTCCAACAGCGACACGGGCGGCGTGGCGGCGGTGATGGGGATCCGCATCGCGCCGCCGGAAGGGAGGGCCTACTTCCACCACCCCACGGGACGGCTCTCCGACGGCCGCGTCATCCTCGACTTCATCTGTGAGTCCCTGCCTACTCCCTAGCTAGCTAGTTCAAATCACCTATCCCACGACTTGGGTTCGATTCCATTCTTGCTTCTCGAATTCACCCCGGCCGCTGTTCGGTCGGCTTCCTTCCCGGCGACGCGCGCAGGCGCAGAGCCGTCCGAGACATCCTTGTCGTTGCGATTAGCCAAGACATTAGCGCTCGTGATTAGGATTAGCAATGTCGGCTGTTTGTAGCGCGTGCCTAACCCACGTGTTTGGGACCAAATGGCCTGCCAAGTCCACCCACCCCATCCCATGCCTGTTCAAACAGTCACATTTTTTCAAGGTGGAAAATTTGAGCACAATGAATGCTCGTGATAGAATGTTGGTGACTGTAGTGTAGATAGATTTATCATGGAGAATGGCTCGGTTTCGGTGAAAAACACCCCGAGCCCAGCATTCCCGAAGGAACAACAAGCGTGCCTCTCTCTCTCTCTCTCTCTCTCTCTCTCTCTCTCTCTCTCTCTCTCTCTCTCTCTCTCTTACAAACTATAAGACGTTTTTGTTTTTCTAAATATATACTCTCTTTATACTTAAAAAATATAGTTATTTTGGATCAGACTTGGGTTAAACATTGGGAATATAAATCATGAATAATTTTTAAGATGTTGAGTTTGAAAATGTGAAAACTATATGTATAAATTTATCTTGAAAAATACTTTCACAAAAATTTACATATATTGTTTTTTGATAAATATCTTTATAAAAATAAGTAGTGAAAGTTATATTTTAGAGACTATGTCGCTGTCCAAAACGATTTTATTTTTTAGTACGGAGGGAGTATACTGTTTTCATTATACATCTAGACATAGTGTATAGTATCTAAGTGCGTAATAAAAATCATGAATATAGATCAAAATGTCTTGTAATTTGAAATGGACCGAGCAGGTAGAATATTTCATTCAATTCATTCACGGTGGTCTCATATCATAGTATCAGTCAGCGTCGCTCCCGGGACAAACACCACCACGGCAGTCGGCAGCGGGCAGCGGCAACGGATCAATCAGCAAGGGTCTGCTGCTTCGGCGCGAAGCGAAGGTCGAGGTGGTTAGCGCCTGGCCGGGGTTGGACGCCGACGGGATGGAACACGCTGGATTTGCATCGGCGGAGCGGAACGGAGCACACGACGCGGACAGCGCGCCCGCCAGGCTCAACCTCTGCCTCTGCCTCTGCCTCTGCCTCTGTCCGTGTGTTTGGCATGGTCTGGCCTGGCAGCATGGGTTGGCACGCGGCGCCATGGGAGTTGGCAGTGCCACGTTTTGGATTCTGCTTGCCACTTGCCACTTGCCACTTGACGGAGGCCCCGGCCCGTGGCGTTGCTTTACTTGCCGTGTCACTTGACGGAGGCCCGGCGCAAGTTGCGCCACCCTGGCGTCGGCGTCCTTGCCCCAAACGTTGGGCACACGCACGCACGCACACCCACCCGTCACGCCGGGTCCCTGCTCACCTGACCTGACCCGACCTTCGCCCGATTCGTTTATGCTGGTTTAATTTATAAGAAATACTTTTTCAAGCTAATAAACAGTAATTTTTTCCTCGTGCAAGATCGATCAGCAGTACTTTCAATCATAGCTTATCAGTCAAACAAGCATAAGCTTACCACACAGCCCTACGACCAAACGCCCAGGCGTAGTAGGCCGGGACACAGTCGGGTGCCCAGTCAACACTGTTGGATTGGATGTTGGGCGAGGACCACGCTGGGGCCATCTCAGCGTTAGCTACCTCTTTCGTTTCCTTTGGCGTGATTGGTTGCTCCGGGGGAGAGGATCCGGGATGGAGGGCCGATCCTAAGCGGAGTGAGACAGGCTAAAACCATACACCTAGGTGTGTTTGGTTGTAACTTTGAAAATGATACCGGATAACAGTGAGTTTGTTTGGTTGCCTGATTCACCAATTTTAGGAATGAGCCGGTCCTCCTCCTTGTGTTTGGTTTGCAGCATGGCACAAGGTGTGAGCACATATGTATCACTTTGGTGAGGTTACTACCATTTTCATCCAAACAAGCATAACAACAGAAACATTACCTCAGATCAATTTGTATCATCATCAACTAAGACCTTGGAGCATAAGAGATATTACAAAATAATACAACAGTCCAACCAGCTATTAAACATCAACAAATTGGTCCCAGTACCTCACAAGGTCGAAGTAAATTGATGAGTACATAGTTATAGGTTAATCATCGCAGGCAGTTCTTTCCACGTTTAACAATGTAAAAGATGAGCACCAGCAACATGAAAGACTGAGCCATGCAAAGAAGAAATAGATCGTCTGGCAACGACAGTGGCAGCAGTCTTCTCAAGAACTTTTTCATCTTCATAAGTGGTTAATAGATTGGCCTCAGATAACAGTTTTTCCTTGGTTGACCTTGAGCTTGGAGCATAAGAAACACAAAAGGCAACATAGCAATGGTAAGAAACAAACATGAAAACCAATAAGAACTAGAATAGAGTTCCAGTACCTCACAAGCTCAAGGTCATCAGTTTTTTTTTAATCCAGTACACATGGCAGTTTAGTTATCATCATAGGCTTAACAAGAATATCAAAGACAATGAAAATAGTTGGAACCGAGTGTCAGAAAAGCCATGAAACCTTGGGACACATCCATCCCCTGCAATCAGGCACTCTAGCCGAGGAGCAAGCAAAAATTCAGATAGGGATCATGCATTTGTGGCATACCACATATTTAGAAAAAAAAAGTTAGCCGTACCACAGATCTGAGCATGGAACTAAAGGGAAACAACAAGAAACAAGTAGATCAGGAATAGCAGGCCATAGATCTGGGTATGTAAGAACAAGAACCATAGAATCATGGTACAACTCAAACAAAATCCGCACATAAATCAACAAAAGCACCGCACAGAGAGGAAGAGGAGAGAGGCGCAGGTGAGGTCTACTGTCGTGGCACCGGAGGACCACCATGAATCCGCCGGTCAAGGTCGACTTCGGCGGTCAACCGAAATCGAGGGGGAGCAGGAGGAAAGGCGCACCAAAGCAATGGAGGAAGGAGAGGCGTGAAATGGGGGGCGGTAACCCTAGCCGACACCCGCGCTCGCCCGGGACGGGGGCATCTCCCGTGCTCACCCGAAGCATTCGCGCCAAGCATCGAGTCGTCCTACATCGAGAGGGAAGTGGAAAGCGAGAAGACGGAGGCGTGCGAAATGGAGGGGGTAGAGGTATGAGACCGAGCAGGTGAAAGATACGAGCAGAGAAACCAAACACGACGCTATAACGAGGCCACCCAGGTAAACCGTGCGAGGACGGCCCGCTCTGGACTACCAATCAGCCCCTTTGTGCACAAGTGCAATCATTTCTTGGCAGCTCCCATTCAATGCACGCAACCTGCCTGCGATCCTTACGTACTCCATTATTTAGGCCTTGTTCGCGGTTAGGAATCAATATTTGATATTGTAGCACTTTCATTTGTATTTGATAATTATTGTCCAATTATGGTCTAACTAGGCTCAAAAGATTCGTCTCGTAATTTATAATCAAACTATGTAATTAGTTATTTTTTTTTATCTACATTTAATACTCTATGCATGTATCTAAAGATTTAATGTGATGAAGAGAGAGTGAAAAAACTTGGAATCTAAACAAGGCCTTAGCCCCAAAGGATCCTCCTGTCCAGTTGCAACCACTAGCTAACCTGACAGTCAGTGCTACTCCATTAGCAGTAATCTGTACTACTACTACAGTGCACGTACTTGTAGTGTACTCTACTCTACTCTTCAGTCACAAAGACTCAAACAGAAATGCTGGCATTAGGCAACAAGTGCGCCTGCACATGGCCACTTGGTCTTTTCTTTCTCTGCTGTGAGAAAGCAGCAGCTTCAATTCGCACGTAGTAGTAATTTAACCAAGCTCCGCCACCTTTGGAATCTGATGATGCAGCTCGGTCGGGCACACATGAAATGCATGTTCAAGCGATATGGTTATTATTCCTTTATTATCTTGTATAAGCTAAAAAGAGGCCACCATGCGTGTGCTGTCTCCGACGCTCTTTCCAGCATTCCACGGAGAGCTTTCCTGCCTTTCCGAATGACTGAAAATAATCTCCTCAACATTCCTCTACATGCAATGAAATCTGGCAGTCTGTGCCAGTTGGCTCGAATTCCTTTTTTGTTACCAAAAAAAAAAAAAAAAAAACTGACCGAAGCTTTTGCTGACACTCCGATTCAGGTGAGAGCCTGGGCACGCCGCACCTGAGCCCGTTCATGAAGCCGCTGGGCTCCAACTACTCCCACGGCGTCAACTTCGCCATGGCGGGCTCCACGGCCACACCGGGGGCTACCACCTTCTCGCTGGACGTGCAGGTGGACCAGTTCGTCTTCTTCAAGGAGAGGTGCCTCGACCTCATCGAGAGAGGTTTGCTTTCTTCATCCCTTCTGTTTCTATTTTTTTTTAATCAAACAAGTGTCTCTTTTTTCTCTCTTCCCTGAACCATCCACCTTTTTACTCAAACTGACGAATGAATGAAGAACCTAATCTTGTCTGGTTTTCTTATCTGACGGGACTTGCCCATCTTCTCCCAGGTGAGGCTGCCCCAATTGACGAGAAGGCGTTCCCAGATGCTATATACACCATGGACATCGGGCACAACGATATAAATGGTGTTCTCCACCTGCCCTATCACACGATGCTCGAAAAGCTTCCCCCTGTAATCGCTGAAATCAAGAAAGCCATCGAGGTAACAATGTTACTCACAGATCCGACGCTTCTTCTACATCTGATGGTCTCTGAACTCCGACTTGTATTTCCTTTCGAGAACTTCTTACACACTATTTATTCATTCCGTAATAACTAATCGTCGTATCCTTGCAAATAAAACTGCAGAGGTTGCACAAGAACGGGGCCAGGAAGTTCTGGATACATGGGACGGGAGCGTTGGGGTGCATGCCTCAGAAGCTCTCTATGCCAAGGGATGACGACCGCGACCTCGATGAGCATGGGTGCATCGCGACCATCAACAATGTCTGCAAGAAGTTCAATTCTTTGCTGAGTGAAGCCCTGGACGAGCTGCGTTTGACGCTGAAAAGTTCGACGATCGTCTTCGTGGATATGTTTGCGATCAAGTATGATCTTGTTGCCAACCACACGAAATACGGTAAGTTCATCTGTTATAGTCTCCGTTCCTTTGCCAGTTCCTTTTTCATGATGAAAGCAAATAGTTTTGAAATCAGGAGTACTATATACTGCGATAACACAATTTTAGGTCTCAGATCAAACTTGTATACCGTTCTATTCCATGCGTTCTAACTTGGTTCTCCTCATTGTTTTTCCAGGGATTAAGAAGCCATTGATGACATGCTGCGGTCATGGAGGGCCCCCTTACAACTATGACCCCAAGGAGAGCTGCATGACTTCGGACAAATACCTCTGTAAGCTTGGCGAAAAGTTCATAAGCTGGGACGGGGTTCACTTCACCGATGCTGCAAACGGAATTGTGGCTTCCAAAGTACTCAGTGGCGAGTACAACATTCCTAGGGTCAAGCTGGCCAGCCTCATCCCTAAAGCAAAATCCGATGATTAATGGTGATGCAGCATCTTAATTGGCCTTTAGTTTGGCCTATCAAGGATGATGAAGATGAAACTACTAACAAAGCTGACCCCACCAAAGTTTAATTATTTTGAGTTTCATACATTACAGCCATTGTAGAAGAAGACTTTCCTTTTGTTTTCTTCTCTTTTTGTACAATCGAGGCATATGTATATCCTAGGGGTTAATACATGGCGATGCAGGTGTCTGTACCATGTATAATTCTTTTCTTCTGGATTTTGGGTCAATAAATAGAGATGAGTATCTGACATGTCTTTATCGATTTGTGGGACAAACAGAGATGGATATCTAACATATTGATACATGCTTTTATCAATGTTCCACACTAACATAATGTCTAACATGTTTGAACATCTAATGATCTAAATATAGATATTTTCATGCTTTTTCCTTGGAATTCTCATCACTTCATCCAAACGGTGAAAAAAACAGAAACAAAGTGTACTGGAATCGTCCAACCAAAGCACAGAAAAGTTTTAAGGGGGTTAGGTTAGTGAACAATGATGGAGACGACCAATTATTAGCTGTGATGCATCATGTTTGTACTTGTGAGTCTGGACCAGGTTTGGGCATATGTGCGGATGTGCCCACGTTTCAGTAAAGAGAACTCTCGGGACCCTGCTCCACATGCTCCCTTTGATACGCAAGGTACCAAACAAATTGCAACCTTTCCAGGGCACAAACAAATACTTCCTCCAATCAGAAATATAAGTGCATCTAGGGTTGTTCTTCGCCAAACACTTTCAGAGAAGTGAAATCAGTAATATAATGTTACTATGAGGCATAGAATTGTGTTTTTCCTGGGCTGCGTGGATGTGGAAGGCGAGGCCAGGCCACACAGGTGTGGAGGTCGAGGGTGGGGCGTCGCGGTCTGGCGCCGTGGCCGACAGCGAGGCCCTACAGGCCATGTGGGAGGGCAGCGGTTTTTGTTCAGAATAGGGGAGGAAGAAGGCTAAGAGCATGACATGTGGGACCTGCTAACAGATGTGGCTGATGGTGTTAAAATGGAGTTATTCCTATTCCTTTCCATCCCTCCAACCAAACAAAAAATTAGGATAGACATGGCCCTTCAACCAAATACGGAGGTGCGACGATCCCATTCCAGAAAATAGGGATGGATCCATCCCGTCCCTAATATCCCAAAACCAAACACACCCTTAGTGACTATTGTGAGGCACGTGGCGTCACGTTTGAAGAATTTGATGGGATAAGTCTCTATGTTGGTCTCTGTGTTGGCTAGTCCTTCTGGGGCTGCAGCATATGATCTTTGTGGCTGCATGGTGGTCTTGCTGCCCATCAAGGACAGCATTCTTGACTGACTAGGACATCATCTTAGCATCTAGGACAACATCTGTTTTAGGACAGCATCTTAGCATCTAGCATCTTGGCATATGCTTAATGTGGCTAAAGACCTATAAATATGTATCCTTAACCCCTCAGGTTGGTATAGCATTTGTGTGAGAAATAAACCAGAAAATTACCCCAACTCCTAGTGTCATCCTCTCTCGATGAGAGTAATAATTCTGCTACTACCAAGAGTAAGAATTCACGACTAACAAGCTGGTATCGTGAGCCCTACTATCTCAGAGCTTTGAGCATCTCCTCGCTCATCTCCTTTCCCGACCCATATTTCAAATGGTGCAAGCAAAGAGCAACTCCGGCCGCTCTGCTCACTCCTCTCCCTAGCCTCTCCCCACGCAAGCAGTCCCCAGTAGCGCGTCATGTCCGCAGAGGCGATCTCGGCCTTCGGCCGCCTCAAGCACTGCAGCGTCGGCGAGGAGGCCGAACTTGCCGCATGAGAGAGGAACGCGAGAGCAGCGGCGGCAGAGATCGCTGCGCTTAGCAAGCAAGGGCGTCAAGGTCGGCTGGCGGCCAGGCGTGGCAGCAATGCAGCAGGCGGAGGCGGAAGCGGCGGCGGCGGATGCAGCGTCGTGGCGGCGACAGAAGGTCGAGGTTACGCGATGGCGACATCGGGCACTCTATTGCTGACGGCAGCAGTAGCGACGCGGACCTCGAGCTGCTAAGGGAGGGAAGCGGCGCAAGCGGCGGGCGGCGATGAATGGCGCGCAAGCGCCACAGCGCGGCGGCAACCGAACAGGCGGGAGCGCGCGGTGGCGCCCTAGAGGAGGCGCGCGATGGCAACTTGATGGCGGGCGGGTCGATGGAGAGCGCGGCCTTCCGCGAGCGGCGTGGCTCTCTCCCCGGATCGGTACCATGGTTACCATAGGCTCTAGGTCGTTGTCGGGACGTCGGCCCGGCGGTGGGTGGCCTACCCTCACTAAGACCAACTACGTCGAGTGAGCTGCGGTGATGAGGTAAAGCTCCAGTGCGGCACATGTGGGAGGCGGTCCGGTTCGGCGACGTCGACACGACCCGGGGATTGACGGGCGCTGGATGCCCTCATTCTTTGCAGATCCCGTCCGAGATGCGATTCTCGCTTACCAACAAGCGGATCGCCAAGGAGGCTTGGGACGCCATCGCTGCGGCACGCGCGCCAGCGGCGACAGCGCCCGCAAGTTCTGCTGTGAGGCGCCGCATGAGGTGGGAGAACACGGCCTTCAAGCCGGTGAGGATGTTGATGACTTTGCTCTCCGTCTCAACACTGCATTGCGGAAGATGGTGCGATTGGCGATGACACCTACGGCGAGGAGAGAGTCGTGAAAAAGCTCTTCCGCCGCATTCAGAAGTACAAGCGAGATGGCTCGCTCGATCAGTCTCTGCTGGATCTCTCCGATGTCGATCGAGGAGGCGATAGAGTCGCCTCAAGTTCGTCGATAGCGATGAGCCACGATCTCTCTCGGGGCCCATCACCACTTGGCGGGAAGTTCCTTCTCACTCGGGGAGCGATGGGTTGCTGCCAAGGTGACCGAAAGAAGGGGAGCCTTCTTCCGCATGACAGTGCATAAGCGTGGCAAGCCGCGCAGCAAAGCGCAGACGCCCAGCCGAAGCGCGAGGACATGCCGAGGGTGATGCCAGAGGAGGCGCCTTGTGGCGGCACCGCCGGCAAGCACAAGCACGCACGAGGCGACACATGCCGCATCAGCTGCGCTGCCTTTGGCCATTGGGCCAAGGGCTGTCGGCAACCACGACGCCTGGCGAAAGAGGAGGAGCCGGCTCTGTTTCATGGCACATGCAAGCATCGAGCTACCTCCAAGAAGACCGCCGCAGCGGCTCTCCTCCACCTTGACGAGCCAAAGCACACGCCCTCCTCGGCGACGGCTCCGACAACGACAAGGCCCGACGGGAGGTGCCTCGACACCGGCGCCACCCATCACATGACCGGTCGACGGAGTTCTTTTACGAGCTTGACTCTAGCGTCCCGAGGCTCCGTCAAGTTTGAGGATGCCTCCGGCGTGGAGATCAAGGGCGTCGGCTCCGTCATCTTCACTGCTGCGGTCGGTGAGCACAGGCGCTCACCGGAGTCTACTACATCCTGCGTTGAGGAACTCTATCATCGACTTTGGGACGGTGGATGAGAACGGTTCGCGCGTGGTGGTTGAGGATGGAGTCATGAGGATTTGGGATCGCCGTCGCCGCCTTCTTGCCAAGGTAACGAGAAGCTTAAATCGACTACGTCCTTAACGTGCGAGATGGCACAACCCCTCTGTCTCGGCCGCTCGTCGGGATGACGAGGCGTGGCGATGCACGCAGCGCTTCGGGCACCTTCACGCCGAGGCCACAAGCGGCTCGATTACCCGCGGAGATGGTACGAGACACCGTCGTGCCTCGACCATGTGGAAGCGGCTCTGCTGCGGCACGCATGTTGGCGAACGGAATCGACTCCCCTTTTCCCGGTGAGGCGAAGCCGAGCCAAGGAGAGGCTCGAGCTTGTGCACGGGGACTTGTGTGGCCCAGTGACACCGCCACACCGGGAGGACGGCGCTACTTCCTGCGCTGTCGTCGGCGACCTCTCCCGCTACATGTGGGTGATGGTCCTCGGCGGCAAAGGAGAGGTCGCGGACGCCATCGGTAGCCTGTGAGAAGTCTGCGGAGGCGGAGTGCTTGACCATAAGCTGCGCGTCTGCTTGCGCGACCGACAATGGCGGCTAAATTCGCGTCGTCATTAGCGGCGATAAGGGCATTCAGCGCCACTACTCGCTACCCGTCTGACCCGCAAGTGAGAACGGCGTCGTCGAGCGTGACGCAACCAGGCGGTTGTGGGGATGGCTCGGGCCCTTCTCAAGCGAGGGGATGCGGCTGTCCTCCGGGAGAGGCGGTGGTGTCGGCCGTCTACATCCTCAACGCTTTCGCCTACCAAAGGCGCTTCGGCGGCGGGGCGCCGACGAGGCTTGGCATGGGCGCAAGCCCGGCGGTCTCCCACTTGCGGGTCTTGGTACCTCGCGTTCGCCAAGGAGCTTAGCCACATCAAAGAAGCTTCGGCGATAGGAGCACCCGGGAGTGCTCATCGGCTGTGCCGGAGGGCTCGAAGGCCTACCGCATCCTCGACCAAGACACGGTGTGTGCGCCGCAGTGCGCGGCGTTGTGTTCAACGAAGAAGGCGAGGATGGGCGTGGGACACAAGCGGTGGGCGACGGCTCGGCTCCGACGTTCGGCGACTTCTTTGTCGATCACGTCCACCGAGGAGGCTGGGGAGTGGCGGCTCTTCTTCGACGAGCGCGTCTACCCGGTCCCCGAGCCTCCACCGACCGGCGCTGCTACTGGGACAGCGGCACCACGCTCTCTAGCGGGACCTCGGGTTGCGATGAGTTCTTCGCCCGGCTCCACCACACCGGCACCGCCATGCACTCCAAGACCAAGCAGGCACCTCTCGAAACGTCTACTCCAACACCGGCTTCGTGTCGAGCATAGCCCGATTGAGTTCGCTACTCCGCTCTCTCACGCCGAGAAAATCGGCGCGCGTACCACGGCAGCGAACCGTTGCGGTACCCGACGATGGAGAACCTTCTCGGCGACCACCGGTCCGGATCGGTGCCTCCACGACTGGAGGCGCAGATTGTACCTTGCGTGTGACGACGGCGAGCCTCGGTCGTTTGCGAGGCCGAGAAACACGCGGCATGGCGCGCCGCGATGCGATTGGAGATGGATGCGGTTGAGAAGAACCGCACTGGAGCTTCTTTGGCCTTCCTCGTGGTCATCCTGCGCGATCACCCTTAAGTGGGTGTATGGTGAAGAGGGATGAAGCCGGCGCCATCGTCAAGCACAAGGCTCGCTTGGTGGCACGAGGTTTCGTGCGGCAGAAAGGGTCGACCGACGGCGCCTTCGCTCCCCGTGGCACGGATGGAGTCCGTGGCGACTCCTTGCGCTAAGTTTGCCGGAAAAGTGGCGTGTTCATCACATGGACGTCAAGTCGGCATTCCTTAACAGCGATTTGAAGGAGGTCTATGTGCACCATTACCGGGATTTGCGATCCCGGCAAGGAGGGCAGGTGCTCTCGCTGCGCGCAAAGGCCCTCTATGGCTGGCGGCGAGAACGCAGGGCGTGGAATGCAAAGTTGGATTCCATGCTAAAGGGATGGGCTTGAGCAAAGCCCGCGACGAGGCGTGCCATCTACCGACGAGGCGGTGGAGGAAATGCTCTGGCGGTGGGTGTCTCGTCGACGACTTGGTGATCACCGGCACCAATGATGCGGAGGTGGCGGCATTCACGGAAGAGATGAAGGCCACCTTCCGGATGAGTGACACAGGGCCTCTCTCCTTCTACACGGGAATCGAGGTGCACCAGATGACTCGGGATCACGCCGACGGACCACCTACGCCAAGCGCGTCGTTGAGCTATTTGGGCTCACCGACCGCAACCAGTTCTCACTCCAATAGAGGAGAGAGGTTTGGTCGAGCCGCCACAAAGACGACGGAGGAGGTGGGCCTTCGTGATGCCGGCGTCTTGTGGGGAGCCTTCGCTACCTCGCCCACACACGGCGGACTTGGCATTCTCCGTCGGCCACGTTAGTCGGTTCATGGCGGCCGACGACGAAGCACCAAAGCAATTTGTGAAAAGGATCATCCGCTACGTTGCGGGGACTCTCGACCACGGCCTCTACTACCCTAGGTGCCACAGGGCGGCACACTTCGTCGAATACAATGACAATGACCACGCCGGGCGACATCGACACCAAACAAGAGCACACGGCGGGATCCTCTTCCTCCTCGGCAAGTGCCTCGTTAGTTGGCGATCGGTCAAAGGAGTGTGGTGGCCACAATCCGGTGCGAGGCCGAGTACATAGCGGCCTCCACCGCTTGACTTCAGCGCCTGCTCGCTCATTTGCTTGGTGATCTCCTCGGCGAGAGACACTAGAGCGGTGGAGCTCTGGGATAGACGTAAACCAAGTCCGCTCTGCCTCGGCAAAGAACCCGTTTTCCATGAACGGAGTAAGCACATCCGGGTGAGGTACCACTTCATCTGAGGCTGTTTGGAGGAAGGGAGCATCAAGGCGAGCTACATCAACACCAAGGACCAGCTTGCGGACCTGCTTACCAAGCCTCTTGGGAGGATCAAGTTCCTTGAGCTCTGCTCCAAGACCGGAATGGTTCAACTTTCCCACAAGACGACGCACAAGACTTAGAGGGAGAATGATGGGATAAGTCTCTGTGTTGGTCTCTGTGTTGGCTGGTCCTTGTGGGGCTGCAGCATATGGTCCTTGTGGCTGCATGGTGGTCTTGCTGCCCATCAAGGACAGCATCTTAGCATCTAGGACAGCATCTGTTTTAGGACAGCATCTTAACATCTAGCATCTTGGCATATGCTTATTGGCTAGTGACCTATAAATATGTATCCCCAACTCCTCAGGTTGGTATGGCATTTGTGTGAGAAATAAACCAGAAAATTGTCCTAACTCCTAGTGTTATCCTCTCTCGATGAGAGTAAGAATTCTGCTACTACCAAGAGTAAGAATTCAGCGACTAACAGAATTTTGGCTGGATTCAGTATTCTGTGAAGAATCCTCTCCACTTTTGAAGGCTATTGTGATCTGTAACATCACTGTGTCAGGTTTTAGTTTGTGAGCTGCAACTTCAGATGCATCGGAGTTGCAAAGCGAGCCTGTGTGCTCAGATGCATATGATGGATGGACAGTGCTAGCTGAAACATGCTGGACTGCTGTTTTGCTGTCGATCAGGCGATGGCTCACTTACTGTTCTGCAGACTCATGTGTCTGTTAGTTTTGAGCTGATTTTACTGAGGAAACTTCAAGGCTGAACTATATGCGACCTGGAGCCATCTAACTGTGAGTCCGGTGACATGGTTTCTTGGCAGACAACAAGTGACTTTGCTGACATGCAGAACTGATCAACAGGGAATTTTAGTTTATCATTTAGTTTGCCTTTTGGATGGCGTGCAGTCATGGATCATATCAGAAGTTAGTAGCTGTGCAGTTGTGTGTTCACTAAATTGAGCGAGCAGCTTCGGGTTGCTCGGCAACTCAAATCCAGACAATTCAAATATATGTATAAACAGTAATTAATACTTCAAAGTGACAAATGAGATAAAATTATTGGGTTCCTATGTAAATTAATGCTGAGGCACCAATTGGAGCACACACATTTCAGTGGAGTTACACCATGTCTTCTCATATCAATTTTAAAGCCATTGGTAAGCTTATATTGTTGGGAAAATCTAAAAATGGTTTACTAGTTCCCTTTTTGTCCTGGGCTAAGATTTACTAGTTCCTTAAACATACAAATTTCAAACAAAGAACAAGCTAACCCACAGCAATCTGGTGCTGTTTTGGCAGGGCAGGCAGGGAGAGCTTGATGAGTCAACGCTAAGACAAATCGAGGGAAACAACAGGCAGCCAATAGAAGCGGAATTCTCTTATCACTCACCGGTGATTTGCATGGAAACGGTGCAGTCACTGGAGAGATGCTCAGCCCAATGGTGCACTAGTAGCTGCACTACCTGTCTCAGTTTTCACATCCCACCCTTACTCTCTCTGAGTCCCTATCCTCTGTTTCTGTGGAATAACAAAAGAAAAGGTATGAGAGATGAGAGAAATCTCAAGCCTAAATAAAATGGGTTCACAAAATAACAAGCCTGATAGCATACACAAAACACCTGATACAAAAGATAAACCCAGTAGACGGGCCCAAAGATGTTACAAGACACAAGGGTGGCCCATCATTCCAAGCTTTTGATTATAAATTGAATGGTTAAGAAATTTGACTGTCAGTTCAACAAATCCTCAATCAGCTGATGTCAAGCAAATCTGAAAAAAAAACACCTTTAGACATACTAGTACACAACAAATTAACGCAGAGAAGAATAAGGAACAAAAGGCATCACCTTAGGAAGGCCAGCTGCTTCAACCCTTGCAGAGAAGTTTAGCAATTATACAAATTGCTGCTTTAGTAAAAATTATCAACTTTCACAGCTTCGACTGATAGAAGCAAACCTTAATTAAATTGCATTTCAGGATTTGAGTGAACCTACCAATGGACTAAATCAACTCCAAGTCTCACACACAACAATAGTGAGGTGATTACAATGAACCACTAAAAATACCCTTTTCTTTGAGAAGGAATAGTCGAAACAAACAATTTTGATGAAATAAAAATACAAATTTCCACCATGCCCATCGATCAAAGGTCTGTTCTGGTGTTAGCTATATTAAATGTAGAAAGAGAACATTGCATTCAAAAAAAATGTAGAAAGAGAACAAAGATGATACAGTCTTCAAATTTCCAAAGGGAAAATCAGCTCAATTTTTGTAGAAACGTAAGCCATTAGAAAATCATAACACAGGCACTGCGAATATCTGATACAAGGTTATTAAGTATCACTACTTAATCAGAGAAGAATCAACCCCTAATGGCAACTCAAACAGCAGGGCTTATTCAGGAGAACAAACAGCAGCGTACTGTGTAGGTGCAAACAACATACGACATGAATAAAGAGAGGCAAACAACATAAACACCAGTGCAGGTGCATGTGACAGAAGAACTAAAACCAGAGTGAGAAAAATAATGGTAACCAGAATTTTGTGTGAATCATTGTAATAAAGTCATGAACATATTAGTCCTACTGAGAAAAATAATGATCACATTAGTATTTCTTTCTCTCAGAAAACATTAGTATTTCTTCTGCACCTGCTGCTTTCACAGGACAAGATATCACCAATAGCCACCGCAGGAACAAGAGCCATTCTTGAAATGATGGAAGCGACTGGAATCTCGTACAATGATCTCATGGTCGACAATCTTGGAGATGTAGGTGAATGCACTGTGACAATCACCGCAAACACGAAGGTTCTTTGTGATCCGTATGGGACAACCAGGGAAGTTGTGAGGAGCCCATATGCGAGCAAGCTTCTCACTGTGTTCAGTGAGAAGATTATTTTTCCCTCGTCATCAACATCGTGCAGTGCAAAGTTTGTCTCTGGGACATAACCCATAACCTTGATGCGACCAATTAGTCTCTAAAAGAGAATATATCTCTGGAGAGAGAGGGTGTGATCGATCTCCAACAAAGAAAGATGCAGTGCCCTTCTTACCTTGGACCCAGCTGCATCCTGGCCTCTTCTTAATCCCCGATTTTTCATCAGTTGTCTGATTCTTGCTACATCTTTCCACCGCCTTGCAGTAGCATATATGTTGGAGATAAGCGTGTAGGATCCATCATTCTCTGCTTTCATACTGACCAGTTTGTTCAGAGCATATTCAGCAAGTTCCACATTCGAATGAACTCTGCAGGCACTAAGTAATGCAACCCAGATAACTGCACTAGGCTCCATTGGCATTTCCTGAATCGTTTTCCATGCCTTATCTAATCGCCCAGAGCGAGCCAGCAAGTCAATAACACAAGCATAATGCTCTGCACTGGCAACTACACCATAATCTCTACGCATGATATCAAAGTAATCCAGACCTTGATCCACCATGCCAGAATGGCTACAAGCGTAAAGAAGAACCAGGAAGGAAATATCATCAGGAACAAAGCCTGCCTTTTGCATCTTGTCAAATATGTCCAAAGCCTCCTTACCACGACCATGCATTCCATACCCTGACATCATTGAAGTCCAAGATACTTCATTCCTTTTAGGCATGCTATCAAATACATTTCTAGCAGTATCGACATCACCACACTTTGAGTACATATCGATAAGGCAGTTTGCCACAAAGTACACAGATGCTTCATACTCATGGTGGCGGGCGACATAAGCATGAATCTGCTTACCAGTACGAAGAGCTGCCAAATGTGCACAGGCCATCAAAATGCAAGAAATTGTATAAGCATTTGGGGCAACTGCATATGGTTTTGAAATCATCTCTGAGAAAAGCTTGAGGGCATCATTCGAGTCTCCATATTGCGCATACCCACCAATCATGACGGTCCAAGTCACCACATTACGTTCCCTTCGAGGTATGGAATCAAATATGGAGCGTGCAGCTTTGAAGCTTCTGCACTTTGAGTACATATCTATTAATGCATTGTGCACCATTAGATCCTCACCATCACCGTCACCACCAAAATCATTATCCAAGGATAGAAGGCACTTCTTCAGAGAGTATGCATGAGTTTCCATACCCTGAGACAATGCTCCCAAGGAAGCGCAAGCAGACAATACAGAGATGATAGTGACAGAATTTGGCTCTGAGCCATAAAGAATCATTTGCTGGAATGCATCAAGGGCCTCTTGGCCACATCCCCTCTGAGCATACCCTGCAATTACAGCACTCCATGTTATGACGTCTAGCGGGATATTTTCCTTGTGCATATTCTTGAAAAGCTCGAAGGCTGCCCCAAAGTTCCCACTTTGGGTGTATCCAATAACCATTGCATTCCAAGAAACGACATCCTTGAATTCCATTGCATTGAAAACCTTTAGTGCATCCTTCATTGACCCACACTTGGCATAGGTATCAATCAGGGCATTGCACACAAAAAAGCATCTGAAATGTGCCATTCCGAATGGCATAGAGCGTGATTTCTTTAGTTTGAGGCAATGCCTTTAGAGAAGCACATGCGGGAAGAATGTTGTGATGCTAATGATATCTGACCTTTCATTTGTAGCTTTTCCGTGAACAATCGTTGTCATCTCTGAAAACAGGTCTAATGCAGTCGCGGATTACTACCTTAACATGGGCAGCAACAATTGAGTTCCATGAGATAACATCATCAATTCCTTTCGCGTTATCTCATCAAACACCAGACTGGCATCCTCCAAAGAACCACAGCGGAATACATCGCCACCAATGCATTGCATCACGAAGACATTTGACTCAAACCCATTGCAACATATGAGTCCATGGAATGCGCTACCACAACGGTATGAAGGTAGCTCCCGCATGCTTTCAGCGCATATGGCAGAGTAAAATGGTCTGGCTTAGTTCCAGCACGCAGCATCGGCAAAGATACACCAATTGCTCTGTCAAGGCGGCCTTCCTTGATGTGTTCTCTTCACGAATAGATTCCACCACACGGCTGGTGATGGTGTGACGCGCTCCAACACCGAGAGAGCATCGTCAGCACCACAAGCAAGATAGGAGGCTACAACACGGTACCCAAAGATTTTGGCGATACATACGAATGCGCGATGGAAGTGGTGGGAGTGACACTGACAGCAACGATGCTGGATAAGAAAGAAGGCCATAAGCAATTATCTTCTGGTGAATTTGACGGACTGTATTCACAGACATGCATTCCTTTAACAGGGATGCAAAGTGCGTCGGAGAGACATCTCGACCAAAGCATTCTGCACTTGCAACTGACAGGAACTGAACTCCAATTCGCTTTGCTGCTTTTGGCGAGTTGAAGAGCATAACGCTAGCGGGAATGTCATCGCACTCTAAATCCTCGAAGAGAAGTCAGGGCATCACTGTTTCATCAAATGAAAAGAAATCGCTTAGAAAAAGAAGTGCCATAGACATTGCCCCAACTAGGGCAGCTGGGTTAAAATGAAAGTACCAATAAATATGAATGCATAAGAACACCGTCAAGGCTACAGAATTGTGATCAGATTGTCTTATGCTACTACAATCATTTTGAAAGAAAGTATGCTACTACAATCATGTGCTATATTTTCCATCTGTGTCACTAATCCATTGTTGTAACGATCATGGAAGGAAGATACATTAGTGCCCAATCAAGACAAGGCACTGGCTGGGCATTTCATCGAGCATATGCAAGGCGTCAGGCGACGGAACCTAGCTAGCTTAGCTTAGACCGACAAAGCACGCGCTGAAGTTCGTAGAATAAGGACTTTTCTGAGTTCCGACACTACGGCAGTTGTAACTTGTGCTAGAGCAAGCAGAGATCGTACTTCATCAATTAAGAAAATAAAAAGGAGTGAAAATATCCAGCAAAACAAGAAGGTAGGCTTCCTCCTTACCGGTCCAGATGGATGCTGTGCACTGGCACTGCGCGTCAATCCAATACAGTACTATCAGAGAGGAGAAGAGGCGGGAGGTAAAGACACGGACGACGAAGTGCGTCGCGCGGCTGGCGTGCTTGGAGTGGGTGCGGCGGCGCGGGAGGAGGCGCTGAAGAAAGGATGGAGGAGAGAGACGGCGGTCGGCGCCTCGGCGGACCGACAGCCCAGCCACACAAGTGCACAGTGCCTCCTCTGGTCGCTTCGGGCCCAAGTGTGAAGATCTTGCCCATTAAGGAAAAAACGAGCGGCCCAGTGACGCCCATGACGGTTCGTTGCCTGAGGTGCCTCCGATCTTCTTGTCTCACCTTCCTATCGGCAGATATTCTTTATGAAACTGGGGCCAGGCCTGGACATGTCTGGCCACGTTTCCATGATCAGAATTAAAGCCAAGTGAGCTCTAGGTCCTGAACAAACAAACTGCAACCTTGCCAAGGTCCAAAACACAGAAAAGCATCAATCTTTTTTTTTCTGCTAAAAGAAAAATCAATCTTTTTTTTTTCTCATGGCTGACGGTGTCAAAACATTGCGGTACTCCTGCATGAAGGGTAAATTGGACTTGTTACTACTTGGCTGGAAAGTATAGAACAATATGATATTCACAGATCAGGAGGACATGGTCAGTCAGATAAGATGGCACGAAGATTGTAATAAACCTCAACCTGTTCAGCCTTAACAGCTGGTCTCACAAGACCTGGAAACCATAATACACAAGTCGCTGTCATGCGTGTGCCTATCACAGACGATGCGCTTCTGCAATTTGGTTGGTATACTGCAACTTCACACAATAGACCCACGACAGTGGAAACTTGTCGTCTCTCTCATTTCAAACTTCTGCATTTATTAAAAATATATTTCTGCATTTTCTGTTCCAGATGGGAAGGGGACAATCACGCTCTACCTGGAAACAACAAACAAATGGCCCAAAAAAATATCACTAGAGATTTGGACCATAGAGAAAACTAGAATGCAAATCTTATATATATTCCAGTACATTGATTAAATAAGCCCATATATGAATTAATTAAGTAAACTGATAGCGGATGACATGGCCACCCTGTCACACTTCCTTGAACAAGTCTACATCCAATCCCATGCCGCCGTCACTCCGGCTTGGTCAACACCATCCCAATAATTTAGCCTTATTTCCACAGCTCACACAAGATCTCTACCCCAATTATCTTATTTCCACAGTATACAATAAATTAGCCTTGCGTTAGTGTCATTGTAGCAATGGGCCACAGTCAATCAATTTTTTTTTTAAAAAAAACAAAACAAAACAGGTGCATTTGTCATAGGATTTTCTCGAGTACTCCGTAGGATCATATGTACGACTCTGCCTTGTTCAGGACTTTATAAAATCTTTGAGAAACTTTTACAGAAACTTGTGAGAGCGAAATTGTTTCTCGTGAAATTCTTATAAATTCCGCATTATGATAGCCCAGCTCTAGATTAATTTAAACTTGACAGGGTCTTTTTGATCCATTATATAGCACTAAAAATTAATTTAAACTTGACAGGGTCTTTTTGATCCATTATATAGCACTAAAAATTAGATAGCTAATAGCTGCTAATTTTTTGAACAGTGATTTGAAGGTGTATATAAACTATTAGCACTTATTAGTAATTTGAAACCTGCTAATGGAATTAATAATTAGTAGCCCTGCAGTTAATAATTAGAGGTTTGTTTGGATCACTAATACTAATTTTAGCTGCTAATTTTTAGTGCAAAGGTCGTAGCAGGCACCTCCATTTTTACCTGCCATGGCCATATCTAAGTAAGTACTCCGTAGTAACTAGCATTAATAAAGTCCGATGACCACCAACCTCTAAAAAGTAACTACTGTTGTACCCTTAAATACGACCACGTCTCTAGCTAGTTCAAAAATACTTAGTTGTAATAAAAAAAAAGTGCAAGACGAAATTTGGAATATTGCAAAGTATATAAATGTGAACACGTATGTATGCTCTTCCACAGTTGTTGAATCTTGAGACTAGCTACAGCTATAGAGAGACAAATATCCATCCATCCATCACGGAGGCTGAAGGCGAGGGCTCTGACTCTGAGCGTGGAGATCGACGACGACCGCGCCATGGCAGGCGCCACCAACGGCGGCGGCGGCGGGGGGAAGGTGATCAGCATGCCGCTGCAGTACTTCTGCGTGCTGGCGGCGGCGGTGGTGGCCGTGATGGTGCTGTCGCTGTCCTTCATGTCGCCGGCGGCCATGGTGGCCGTCCGCCACAACCTCGGCTCCTCCGTGGCGGCCGCCGCCCCCGGCAGCAGCAACAGCAGCGGCGGCGCCGCTGCCGGCCTGGCCGCGGCATCACCGCCGCCGGTGGCACGGGAAGAGAAGGAGCAGGCGCGGCGGCGGCCGCCGGTGGTGCTGTTCAACTTCGGCGACTCCAACTCCGACACCGGCGGCGTGGCGGCGGCCGGCGGGATGCGGATCATGCCACCCGAGGGCCGCACCTACTTCCACCACCCCACGGGCCGGCTCTCCGACGGCCGCGTCATCATTGACTTCATCTGTGAGTTCCATACCCATACTTCCATTGATTAAACTCACCATTAATTCACCGCTTCTTCTGCCGTTTGGTAAAATCAAATCATTTCGCCGCTCTGTTAGCTCTCTAGAATGTAATTAGCCGATAATCCGAGGACTTAATTGCACACGAAAGCAGATAAACTGTTAGGTGGAAACGCCGGCAACTAGCATCCCTAATTGCGCAGTGAGTTTCTCAATCCGATATGAATCATAGATTCATGTGAAATTCCTCTGTTCTATACGCTCTCGATTTTACCGGGTCAATCAATCGGGCTAAGGAGATTTACAGCTAGAAGATGGTTGGTGGATCGTGGTGACTAACACAAGTTGGGAAAGGTCAAACAAGCCCATGTTGCCGCCGATGTGGAAGAGGGATTAAAATTGGTGCTATTCGGTGGTTGAAGCAGACGAGGCCTCATGTGATGTGATGTGCCCAATCACCATGCCATTTCAGTCTTTGGTTCTTTGTCCAGTCAGTTGAGAGAGAGATGGAATCATGGAAAACCTTTGGCTGGCTGGAATGTCGAATAAGGTTATCTGCAGGGTCGAGGGTGAAAATCTGCGCTTGATTGTCTCAGCAAACTTGGTCCCATTCTCCATTGCGAGACTGGTTCTTGTGCTTTCCTGCTTGCCTCTTTCTGTGTGCAGACCAGACAAAGGTTGTTGGACGACCATCTTGTGTTTGATGCTTCTTCCTTCACATAAAAAGTGTCTTGAAGTAAATTCGACATGCCTTTTTTTTCCCCTTCTTCTTGCATTGGCATGGATCGGAGTACCAAAGATCCTTTGTGTTATCATCAATAAAAATGTCCTTAGGTTATAGCTCGATTTGATGTAAAGAGATTAGACTAGATCTAACCGACACAAAATGATAATGTGAGCACAGAAGGGGGGTACTCTAGTTACTGGCTTGCCAGTTGTTTCTTACTCCTATTTTGTCCGATTAGCAAGTTGTTGAGTCAACAGCAAACATCACCGGAAACACTACTGCAACTAGTGCCGTGGCATTGGCGATGGCAGATGGAGCTGTAAACCTACCAGTCACATGGTTTTCTTTGTCTGGTCTGTCAACGTTAGTTAGTGCTTGTACAAAATATTAGGAGTTCAGGTGCAGAGCATCATTCAGCTACATCGTCAAACTGTGCTTATCTAGACTGGAACTGGAATGGATAATTTTTGCCAGCTTATTTACATGTCTGTATTGGTACCTTGTTGTCATAAGAAAAAGTCAATTCTTCAAATTGCTGTGTTTTTTTAATCTTCTTCTAAAATTTAGAGAAGTTTGATTATTAAAAATAATTTAAAAGTCTTCCACTCGCTGACAGTACACAAAGTCGTTGACTATTTTTTTAAAAACTTGCATCTTTAATTACAAAATATGCAATATGCATGTCATGATCCTGCCACATATAACCATGTGGAAGTTCATGCTTGTCACATTGCATCAGGTTTATCTTATCCGAGTGTACATGTTGAGCCCCAACCCCCCCTCTCAATGATACTTTTTTAAAAATTACGTAATAATGATTCATTCCATAACACGCATACGCACATTTAACCATATGACCACGCGCATACAACCCTACCCCTATGAGCACCTCCGCCGACCCGAAATTTGCATCTCTAGATTCACGAAGTAAGCCACATCGCCTACCATTGAAAGCATATTAGCGCTGTTAAATCCTCAAATAAACCAGGAAAATCGATCACCCGTACAAGTAGAGGACTTGAACTCAGGATAAGCGGAGTTCCACCACAGAACCTAGCCCCCCCCCCCCACACACACACACACAATGATACTACTTGTTTACGTAACGGCAAAGTACTAGTTCTTTATTGTGATTTTTTTGTATAATGTATATTTACTAATAAGTGTAAATTAGGAGAACAAAAAGGCGTTTTGTCATGGTCCACGGATGCTTCATCCGGACAGGCTGCATCTGTACTTTCAGTTTGTGGTCATGAAAGCTTTAATCCTCAACTGATCTTCTCAAGTACAAACATCGCATCTGCACTGCATATATGGTTGAGATCTGAGATGCACGTGGTGGGGGTACCTGTGCATTATCTGTTCTGTTCATGATCTGAAATGTAGCCGTGACACACCAATCTGAAATGTCACTGTGACAGAGGATTAGTAACACATAGCGAATCTGCACTTACCATGCTATCCAAAGCTTAAATTTGTTAACAGTTTCTTGTTTTTTTTCCACTCATGGCTTAGTAGGGTCATCTTTTCAGGTGAGAGTCTGGGCACGCATGAGCTGAACCCATACCTCAAGGGAATTGGTTCAGACTACAGCAACGGCGTCAACTTCGCCATGGCGGGCTCCCACAGTGACCACGGCTTCTCTGACTACTCCCTGAACGTCCAGGTCGACCAGTTCGTCTACTTCAGGCACAGATCCCTGAGGATGTTTGAACGAGGTTTGTTGCCTTGTCACAGGACATCTGTGCCATCAAATTTACACTCAATTCTGGACCTGAAAATGTGCTTTGCATCAGGACTGAAAGGGCCGGTGAGCAAGGAAGGGTTTGAGAACGCTCTGTACATGATGGACATCGGCCACAACGACATGGTTGGTGTGGCGCACACCGTCTGATCAGTGGGACAAGAAGATCACAGAGATCGTCGGCGAGGTCAGACAAGCCATCTCGGTAAGCTCCAAGCGCCAACATACCACTCCTCTGAAAAATTCGTTCAACATGCTGATACATACAGACTGACAAAAAGCATATCTCTGTTCTCTTGGCAAAATTCAGATTCTGTATGACAATGGAGCGAGGAAGTTCTGGGTCCACGGCACGAGCGCGTCCTGGGGTGCCTGCTGGCGCTGGTGGTGCAGGGAACAAGGGCGAGAAGGACAAGCACGGTTGCCTCGCCGGCGTCAACAGGGCTGCCATAGGCGTACAACAAGAAGCTCAGCCAGCTCTGTGACGACCTCCGGTTCCACCTCAAGGGCGCCACCGTCGTCATACACCGACATGTTCGCCATCAAGATACGACTTCGTCGCCAACCACACCAAATACGGTACGAAATGGATGGCAGATCCTCGTCCTTCAGAACCAGAAAGTTCTGAAGATTCAGGCATTCAGAGAGAAAAATTAAACATTTCACTTGCCGATAGCGTGTCAGAGCTTGCTTACGCTCTAGTTCTTCTCCAGGGATCGAGTGGCCGTTCATGGTGTGCTGTGGCAACGGCGGGCCGCCGTACAACATGGAGCAGGGAAAGCCTGGCTGCGGCGACCTGTGCCCACCGGAGGCGAAGGTGGTCAGCTGGGACAGCGTGCACTTCACGGATTTCGGCAGCGGCCTTGCTGCCAAGCTTACCATGAGCGGGGAGTACTGCCCAGGGTGAAGCTGGCGAAGCTTGATCCATGGCGGATCCAAGAAAGCCTCAGACTCTTGATACGGATCATCATTGATCGAGTCGTGACCTTTGGATCCACGTCAATGGAAGATGGGTTAACGGTGATGAACTGAAGACGATGAAGGCTGTCGTGGTTGGAGGAGGAGATGTTGCATCAGGCTGTTTCTTGACGTCGATTGACTCCTTGTACACACTACACAGAACTACCAGAATACAAAGTAGCAATGGGAAAGATCAGTTGCAATTGCAAGTTTAAGTTAATTTTGGTGTCTTTTTGGATTTTGTGGTACAGAGTACAAAGATTCTGTACCTTTATGTACGTGTATAGACTATTTATGATAGTTATTACAAGCTCCCAAAGGAAATATGATGTGTTTTGTCATTTCTTTCTATTTTGAAAAGAAATAGCAAATAGTGTAAGGAAGCAATGAAGCATCATGTTTGGCACTCATCACTATCTTCAGTACAGACAAGTAGTTAGGCCTCTCATCACTATCTTCGTTGGCGTCTACGGTCTACCACTACTCAGTAAGCTTGTACGCTTTTCCCCTTTGTATTGGTATTACAATGAGGGAAAAATCATGACAACAAGTTAATACTCAAATGCTTAAGGGCTTCTGCTTGGTTCCAAATAAGTCGCTCATTTATAAGCTAAAAAGTCAAATAAGCGATCGATTTTGCCAAACACC